TTTTTATTTCCAAAGGAGGCAAAGGGGATGATGGGAGGAGGTGAAACTCCCTCTCTCTCCCACTCACTCTCTCTTCCTCCTCCTCCTCCTCCTCCTCCTCTTCCTCTGCCGCCGGTGTCTCTGAGTGTGTGGTGTCGGTGAAGCCGGAGTGGAATGGGAACTAGACGCAGGAGCAGCAGGAGAAGGCGGAGGAGGTGTCTGTTGCATTACCTCACCGTTTGGTAGGATTTAATTTCTGATTTTTTGCATGCTATCGTAGGCTCATTTTGTCTCTGTCCCCCAAAAAATCTGTACCAAAGATGAGGAGTCCGTCCCGCCTTGCTGTTGCTCTCCTCTTCATTCATTCCCTCTTGTTGGACTAAGGAGTGTGTTCTGCTCATTTTACACCCAGTCCTGTGTGGTTCCTCTCTAATATATCACTGTTTCATGTTTGTAGATTTGTTTCAACCAAAATGAGCCAAAAAGTAGATTTAAAAAAAAGAAAAAAGAAAAGGTGGAGGCGCAGTGGGAGTATCCATGGAGTTTAGACACTGACTGACGTGCCCCCGGCTGAGCAGCTGCATCTCACTGTAACACTGGAATAACATTCAGTTTAATGGGATTTGCTGCTGCCTCTCACTGCAGGATGCAAACTTGAAATCATTTTTTTTTAAAAAGTGATGTTCATCTCAGAGGAGTGTCCCTGAATTGTCTGCAATTTGTGATATCAGAGAAACTGAATCACACTGTTAGAGATGATATTGTGATCACTGTTGGCGTTTTGTGCAAACTTTCACTTGGGTGCATTTGTATTTGTGTGCGTGCACGAGCGGCGTTTGAGTGCGAGGCCACAGTGCGTGTGAGCGTGAACCGGCCGATGTCTGCACCGTAACCTGTGAGGATCCGTGTGCAACTGTAGTTTCATTCACTTACACATGCAGCTGTGTGTGGTTGTGATTTCTGCGCTTGTTTGCTGAAAGGTTTTGTTAAAACCCTGGCTGAACTTTTTCAAAGGCCCGGGATGAATCAGAGGTGAGGGACAGATCTTTGTTTCCTACAGCAGTCATCATGGAAGAAAACAATAGCCGGCCGCCGCTCTCCCTCTGACCTTTTTTCACCCATTCTGAATAAGCCAGATCCGTGCAAATCCATCTGCCTTTTGTCTATGGAAGCCTGGCTAATCCACACCCCCATTCACACACACACACACACACACACACATATATATATACACCCTGTCACACACACCAACTAGGCAACCGAACCAGTCCACCACCAAACCTCCATCTACACATTTATTTCTACTGCTGCACTTTTTAAAAAAAAATCAGCCAATATTCTAGCATCCTGATTGATTTTATTACCATTTATTTGCAGCTACAAAGCAGAATATTGTAAGTCAGTGAAAACTAGGGTGCTGCCTGCGTGAAATCACACTAAGTGTGGATCGAGGGAGACACGATTTTAGTGAAAAACTGGTTTAAAAATTCACCAGAAAGAAAAATAATTGTGATAAACCTAAAAAAGATATTCACATTTCTTTTCTCTCGTTTTTCATTTTTTCCTTCTCCTGTTCAGACGCCTATCAGTCTGTAGGGAGTGTGTCTGATATTTGCTAAAAAGGGATGAACCCAGCAGCGTCTGCAGCCAGACAGCCAGACAGCATCCTTGACATTGTATGTTAATGCTTTTCAGAAATACTCAATCAGGAGGAGCTGTACGCTGTGTGTCAAATCACGTTTGCCGATGTGAAATGAAAAAAATTTGCAAGTACAATCGATTTTTGCGGGAGCAGATGGACAATAGAAGTGGAAGCATGAAAGGAACTCCCTTCTCCCCTCTTGCCTTTGGGGAGACAACGTTCTCCTTTCATTTTGTAGATGCTCACTGGAACCACTTGATCAAAACCTGTGATTTTCCTCCTGAAACAAACAGGATTTTCTGTTGGGGTTTTTTGTTTGTTTTTTCCCGAATGATGAAAAAAAAAGAATGAGAGCCAGAAATGATGTAGATTGAAGTCAGGAGTCTTCTGTGTGGCTGCTTCCTTTTAGCTGCAGATTCAATCCCTGTTCTCGCCTCAGATTATTCCTTTTTTTTTTTTTTTTTTAACTCGCAATCACACATGCAATGTAAATTACATTTCCTCTGGTTTTTCTCGGCTGAGCTGCGGTTCATCTCCGCGGCTCTTTCAATCAAACCCTCAGAATGTAATTTGATTGAAAGTGTTGAGCCGGTGGAGAAGGCCTCAGAACTGCAGAGCCGAGCCGATAGCGTCTTATTATTGGAAACGCGTCGCCCAGTGCTGCTCACACACACGTTCTCCAGCGTTTCACACTCTATGTTATCGCTGCTCAGTCTTTTGCACAGTAATGGCAGCGTGCATGTGTTCCACCTCCCGAGCAAACATTTGATTTTCAATCATTGCAAATTTCTGCTACATCTGCGTGTGCAGCGCCGGCAGAGCGGCTGCTCGTTTTTCATAGCCGTGAACTAACAAGTTGTACGCTCCTCCACCCCTTTTTTACTGTTACTAACAACTGCAACCAAACTTGATTAAGGAGGTGGGGTCAGGGTACATTTGTTTGAATCAATAGACAGACATGCGAGGCAGCCATGATAAAGAGACCAAGAGAGGCGGTGGTGGGGGTGGTGGGGGGGAGGTGGAATCAGGGAGGTGGCGGCGGCGGTGGCGGTGGGGGGAGGAGGGGAGCGTGGTTTGGAAAACGCCGGCATCTGTCCCGTGAAAGATGACGGAGCTGTTACAGTTAGAGCCTTGAATTATGGGCCATTACCAGCCGAGCAAGATGCAATCCCTCTCCATGAAACTTCATTTGACAAAACAATGAGACGACTCGGGGAGTAAAATGACAAATGAAGTTATTTGATCCGAGGTTTAAATTTTATTTTTTTAAATACCCTTTTTGAGGGTAAGATGATTGCAGCATGTGGAATCAGCAGTAATGCATTATTAATGGCCTGGCTGAGCCCACCGTGCTCATAGGTTCAGCTACTGTTGTTTATGAAGCCTCCTTAATGGCTGAATTTTCCACTAAAATCTTTTACATTAATGAAAAGAAGCAGTAAAAATACACAATCAATTGTCTGTGCTCCGTCGTGCTCATACAGCCGACCTCCTGCGTTACCAGTGATTTATGAACAACAGTAAGTTACTAGCGGATGAATCTTTATGTACTTCAGAGCTGAATTTCTCACCGTTTTTTTTGTTCTGCTTTATTAGTATTGTGGAGACGGCACTCTTTAGTGTCAGAGACGCCCACTGTTTCCTTTTCAGGGCCGCCACATTACTATGCAACCAGCTTTTACAGTACGGCTTAGAGCTCCCCGAGCAAATTGGACACCCCACAAAGCATCGCACAACTGTTGTACCCCCATTGTGGGTCTTTCTGCAGGCACTCTTTATCAGGTGCTGAATGCGACAGCAGCAGTGGCAATGAATGAAATCATAGGGGGGAGGTGGTTAGAGGGGGTGAGGGCATTATCGAGTGGTGTTGACGGTGTTGAGGTGGGGGGGAGCGGCGGCGGCGGTTCGCTCCCCTGAAACCTCACAAGAATTCCAGAACAATCGGGCGGATCGGAGCGTGTTCCCACCTCCCACAGCTTCAGGGTTCTGACAGGCAGGCAGGATGGACTGCCCTCCTCCCCCACCGCCCCCTCCACCGCTTTCAAAGCCTCCTTTCCATTAACTCACCACGACACACCTCGCCTAATCTGTGTGACCTCTACCACTCTGAGGGCTCTTTTTTTTTATTTACCCCCTACCAACCCCACTCTTTACTCTCTGGGTTTTTCCCTCAACTTTCTTCTCCACAAAAGCGATTTTAAACAAGCTTAATATGCGAACAGGCCAAACTAATAATGAGCTATAGCGAGTGTTTTGGAGGCCAGGGAGGGGAATGAATCTTTACTGTTCTACAATGATGTGAAAAAAAACAGAATGAGTCAAGAAAAAGCTGTTTTGCTATTGATTTCTTTAGATTTTTCTTTGTAAGAAGCAATTGTAGGCCTTGTCATTGGCAGTGCAATTTGCAGCTCTTCTCTTTCGGTTCTTGCTTTGCTCTTTGTTGTCAAGATCATTATGCAGCATGTAATAATGGGGAATTATGTAGCCTATTGTTAACTCTTGGTAGTCAGGTAGAATGCAGCAGGCCCATTATGACCATGAGCAGCAGTAGGAGCTGCAGCTTGAACGGTTCAATAACACCCGCTCTGGTTTTTACACACCGCTGAAGGAGTTTTTATCTTCCACTACGTGTCCGTTGTGTCATCCTGAGCAGCAGGACTGGTTGAAAAGAAGTCTTTAATCTCCAGTTGTTTGCCAAAGGATCTGGTTCTCAGATTATTTCGGTCGGAGTTTGGCGAGGCAGTCGCTCAAGACGAGCACAACGTCTGTCGGTAGAGAAACTCCTCCAGTTTGGAGAACGGTGTGTCTGGAGACATCCGGGATGCTTTGCTAAACAGGAGTTTATGTATTCTATGCACTCCTGGGCACAGATGGTGGAACAAACGCTTGTGATTATACTTTTCATCGAGTACAGTGATATGCATGTTTATGTGTTTCAAAAAAATAAAAAGAAGTGGGGGGGATCATGAGTAGTGACAATAATTAATGCTTTAAAGGGAGCTCAGATAGATTATCTTGGCTTTTTTTATTATTTTTGTGGTCTGTTTGGCGTGTGCTTTAATCCGGGGTATCAAACCATGTGGCACGAAGCTCTGAGAGCCTGCAGCGTTGTTCCAATCAAACACTCCGCCAGCTGATTCTGCAGATTAGTTCCTCTTGTCTGGCTGATCAGTAAAACCACCTGAAAGCGCTTTTAGCTGCTCGGCTTTTTACTCCTGCAGCCGCCATCACAACTGCGTTTTAAGCAAAGGTGGATGCATCTGAGCTGTCATCCTGACACCGGCAGCTCCACGTTGTGCCTGCTGAGCTGTAGAAGAGCCACGAGGATAGAAACACTAATGGAAACGTGTTATTATATCTGCTCCTTTGTGGCCCGCAGGGAAGCCAGATCAACCAGATCCCCACCAAGTACAGCCAGGCAGAGTCCACCAAGTTCCTCATCCTCACCGTGGTGTCCATCCTGTGCATCGTGGGCGTGCTGCTGGCCTCCACCGTGGTCTACTGCCTCCGCCACCGCTCCCACCACAAGCTCAAGGAAAAGCTCACCAACCTGGGAACGGATACGAGCGGCGATGCTACCGCCACCTATCAGGTAGGAGGTGTTACTGCCATCTGTCCAGTTGAAAGGAGTGCGGTAGAGATTTTATTATCAAGGTTTTTATACCCAAAATAAAACATGCAGGATTGTTAGAGTGCGTACTAAAGTTAGAGTGTTTTCTTTAATCAGAATCCCTTAAAGAGGTCAAATGATTGAAAAACCAGCACAGACTGAAGGAAAGTCTGCAATAAGAAGATATTATTTGAGAATTTATTATGAACTTGGCATTGCTGAAGAAGAAGAAATGCATTTTCCTGCTTTTCTTCCCTTTTAACCATCAGATTTGTGGCTTCTGCTATTAAGAGCATATATGTGTTTATTAGTAAATTGTTTTTACATTTTTAAGTAAATTTGGCTCCATTTGTCTCTGATTTATGCCATTTCTAAAATCATTTCAGTAAAGTTGTGAAGCCCCATGCAGTGGTTTGATAAAAGCCTTAATTACAGACATGCAGCACTTTCAGAGGCGACCTGCAGCTCTGATGCTGGGATGTGAAGGACAGAAGCTTGCTGCTGCTGGTCGCTCCAGTTCTTGCTCCAGCCTTTTCGTATTGTCACGTTTTAAGGCGGTGTTGCTGATTGTGCTGCTATAATGTGTTGTTTGAGCCACGAGCCGGTGCATCACCGATCCAACAGGTTTTTCACCTCAAGTTATTTCCCTCCACCCCTCTGCTTGCTGTAATTATCCTTTGGCCGGGATAGCCAAGTGTGAAATTTAATTTACAGAATCCAATATTAAGTGGCTTTTTGAGCAAAGAATTAGATTGAGATTTTTCCGTGGCTCTCGCTGACCTTTTCCCCACCATGTTTTTAAATGAGAGTGGTCCTGTGAGCATTGATTTTATAATGAGCCCAGCCCTTCCCCTAAGTGCTTACATTTTATGCTCTTCTCCGGGGATTTTTAACTCCTGGAATAGACTGTTGCTGCTGCGTCAAAGGTTTACCTCATCGCTGGGGACCTGTGTAGTCGCTTTTTGCAATGAGAGCTATTGTTCAGTGGTGGGGTGAAGATGGAGACACTGAATTTGGAAAAAGTTTCTAAAAGTCAACCTGTCCTAAGACAGGCTGACATTTCACACCTTCCTCGGTCGACATAAAATATTTGTTATCTTCTCGGTTACTTGCCTCCGAGATTCACTTGAAGCCCCTAATTGGACATTTGCTAATTAAAATTCACACCTAAGACTGTGTTTACGCATTATTTATCTGATTATTAGCCGACAGAAACCTTGGTGTTGCTCATTCTCCGAGTGTTTGCTCGGCCTCGCTGTGACTCCCGGAGCTCCGGTTCTCTTCCCTCCTTTATCGAGTCCAGACAGAAGCTGCCGCCATCGTCCTCGGTGAAAGACCTCGATGTTGGGCGGCCGTTTCAGCGCGTAAAGCTCGTCTCTTTGTCAGCTGCGTGGAGGGGTTTCCCTGGGCTGGATGCTGCCTGTGTGTTTGTGTGTGCAGTCTCCAGGGCTACATGCAATTAAAGCCGACAGAAAGCGGCAGGCTGCCTGACGGCCTTTAGTGCTGCAGC